TTTGGCACGCAAATCCGTACTCCTTCTGCATCGGTCCTATCTGCCATCACAAACAATACGCCCATCGTCCACATCGGAGATCTTGAAACATTAGCTACATCTGCTGAGGTACCAGAGGCCCTCAGGGAAGTTCTCAAGAGCTCGGTGGGCGCGGCTCGAATCTCCACTCTTCAAGCCCACGTTCGGGACTGCCTTCGAGCCTCTGCGTCTCGGCCAGGTCGTCCACTGAAAGATGGTGAGCTCGTGGTGTGGCGCCGTCCTGAGTCTCGACCCGTTGAAGGAACGGTCAGATTGGTCAGTGGCGTCCATACTGAAGATGGTCCCTTCTGCTACCTTGGATCGTTGGCTGGTTTCGTGACTAGGTTACACCCACTAGGCAGCCCACCTGGTCACTCTGTCAGCGTTTCTGCCTGTCATCTGGAATCCAGGCATGCCTTTGTAGAAAGAGACCGTCCAACTATGGCCGTTGAAACCGAGATCCCCTTCACTTCGATAAAACCTGGTCAGGTTATTCTTGCCAGGCTGTCGTGTGGTGCTGATGCTATCGGAAAGGTCATGGCCGAAACTGACAATGACGATACTGTCGCTCATGGCTCACTAGTGGTCCAGATCTACGACTCGCATGATGGCAATAAATTTTTCCCGGTGTGGTTATCTCATGACGGTTCCACTTACACTGGTGACACTCCGGAAAACGCTCAGCGGGACAGTCCGCTCCTGCGTACGGTGTCTTCGGTACTCATGCGTATCAATCTGACTCCGACGAACATGCTCAAGGACACCTCACGCGCGGCTATGGTTGAGGCAGGATACCTTGAGGCGTAATCTTTTTTCTTTTTGCAGCTCTTCAGCACTCGACCTTGGGGGACGTCTACAGCGTTCCGCTCTTAGGAAGGTCTCTGTGCTGAGGCTGCTCTCGCGTGCGTGCGACTACTTACGTCGTCGTCGCCCGAACACAATCGATCAGGCTATGTGTGTGCGTGCCCCATTGCTCATTGCTTGTGCTTTGGAAGCCTCACGGATTGCCCATTATTCTTTTCGGTCAAACTTATTGATTCATATGACATCGGTATCAGATATTATCACCCTCATTTCCTAATGAATGACTCCGA